TCCCCTTTGGTAAGAAGCTGTAATGAATCACACCGGCGATAGATCACCAAACAGTGACCATTACTTTTGACCAACTCGCTGAGCGCTTGCGATTGTCAAACAAAATTCATTTTTCGACGCAGTTCAAAGTTTCCTCGTTTGTGTGCCTGTTTGCCTTACACTGCGTAAGGCACGTCTCAACGCGTACTTCGCGTTGGCGGTCATTGAGTTCGATTAGCACCCATTTGTCAAGCTTTTATACCGTGTCAATTTGACGCAAATGAACCAATATTGTTTTGATGTTAAAGGCGAAAGCTGCTGCTAATTCATCCGCAGATTGAGTACCCTCAACCGCCACAAACCTTTTGGTTTTTAATTTGACATATCCCATAATCGCCTCATACGACCCCCTTTGATGTCAGAATTAAATTAATGGCATTGACTGCTATAGAAAAGTTCAACATTGCTATGGTTCTGCGAAAAGGTTCCCTGCGTTCTTTCCATTAATCTGTAATATAAATATAAATCTACAATTGGACTACTTATAAACTGTACTCTGATCAGAGCGTATTGTCTCTTACGATGTTGAGGCTTTTTATAATACATCCGTAAAAAGATTAAATATTCATGTGGTTGCTATTTTCGCTATTCCATGTTTAATTTTTTTTCATGGTTTTGGTGGTGTAATAAAAATTATATTTATAATCGCATTTTGTGTAATCAAAATTTTGTGTGCCAAAAAGTCACCTAAGAGTATGTTATTCATTACGCTGTAAAATTCTGTGTTGGACATGGGTCTCCCGTGTTAATTGGTCATATGGTGCCGCCGTAATAGAATTCGTTACGCGGGTATCGTAAGAGGTGCCTATGGGAAATATCACGCCGTAACCACCTCGCTTAGCGCCATAGAAATCGGCTACGGGCGAGAGAGTGATAAAAATCAGGAGATGGGAAGCTGCGTCTTCCTAATAAAGGTTAAAAATAAAAAATGCGGCTGCCGACCCGTATGCCAAGCGTGGAAACTATAGCAAATATTGCACCTATGATTAAATCGATTGGGGCCCCCCAATGATGATGTTCAACGGTGACTTTAAAGAAAAACTTTTTCCATTATGCATTTCACTTTTTATTTATATCAATAAAACACTTTTTATTTATACGTCTCAGACTTTATAAAAGTAACTACTGCGTATGCTCGGAACCACTATTAAACTGTAAAAGTGCATCCAGACTTTGCAATGATAAATAATGTTAAAAATTTTACTCTATTACCCTATAGTTGTAATAGTCGCGAAGTGTATGGCAGGATTTATTAAGAAATGAACAAGTTGTTTTTTTTCTTATGACGGCAGCATTGTATTAGGAAGCAAAGGAAAACGTCATAAGGGAGTCACAAGTTTTGATGTTCACAAGGACAGGTGAAATCTGCAAATTACAGAAGCAGCAAAAACCAGGGCGCTACGCCCTAATACCTTCTGAAGTATAAGGGCTTTTATCCTGCATACTTTAATGACTTAATAACTGAACTAAATAAGATCGGTTTTTAAATCGATTCTAATCTAGATCTGATGAATCGATTCACAAAAATGTATAAAACGATGTTTAAAAGATCGAGTTTGAGAAATCGATCTTTTTTCGATTTGCCTTCAGAGTTTATATTTACAATAACAAAATATACAATAAAGTACACATTACAAACTTAACTTATTTTTTATTTCTTTAATTTATTAAGACGAGATGAAAGAAACTGAGCCCACAGCAGTTTTGCAAGTTTTTTAATAGAAAAACTGTCATTATTTACTAGTGTAAGTACATTCAACTAATTGTAAATCATTTTACAATTCTTATAAAAACAGATACGATCTCGATTTTCTAGGGTAAAATATTGATTTACTGGATCGATTCAGTACTATATATATATATATATTTATATTTATATATATATATATATATATATATATATATATATATATATATATATATATATATATATATATATATATATATACATATATATATAATCGATCTTTTTAGCACAAGAAATGGACTCTTCGATTAATCGATCTCAGATCGCTATCCCTAGTGTGATCAGTCTCGCACATGATCATCATGTGCGAGTTCCCCTGGTGTTGCGGTTGATCATGGGCGGCGGTAGTCACTTAACATCAGGTGAGCCGCATGCTCGTTTGCCCCCTCTTCTACAAAAAAAAAAAAAAATTAAAACTGTGCTTATTAACAAGATTTTTAGCTAAGTAGAATACGATCACATTTCTGTTAGGAATCGTATTTGAGGTTTATTTGAAGTTTCCAAGCATCGCGATTTTCGACGAATGGCCTTGCAAGTTGCATACGTTGGGCATCGCAGAACTTATATAGGTTAACATTTCGCAATATATTTTTTTACTCTTTATTGATATCCCTTAGTAATCACGGAAAATCCGCCGTGATGTAGGAAGGGAAAAAGATGCAAAGTAATATGGACACTCGCGCGCAGCGTAAAGTTTTTCAGCTTGCGTGCGCTATTTATCAAATTAATAATAATTATGTAGGCTATTAAACGTCGGTAAGCAGTCAACAGCAAAGGAGTATAACTTCTGTACTTAGTACTATTATTTATTCTGTGACTCAACTTATCACCTGAAAGAATTATTTAAACATTGATTACAAGTCGATAGATTAAAAGACTTCAACGGGTGACTTCATATTGTCATATAGAGCTCTTATGATGATAATGATGATGAAAAGTCCACGGGTGTATGGTTTCCACGGCTTCCAATTACAATTAATATTTGCTCCATAGCAATAGTTGCCGCGCTTGGCAGGTGGGTTGGCAACTGCAGTTATTGATTAATATGAGTCGTTTATCTCATCTGTTTAACAGGACAATTTGCCTTCCCTTATATTTGTTTAAAAGTTTCGTCAGTAAAGGAATCAACGAACGTTTGTACTATAGTATTAAACTAGCAAGGCTTAATATTTGACAGTTGTCATTTGTGACGACATATGATGTGATGTGTGAAGCTTTTAAATAAATAATACAATAAATGTATTATTTATTTAAAGCTTCTTCAGATAAAGAATCCATGGACATAAGATAAAATTTACGGTAAATAAGATAAACTCAAACCATTGACTTAAACTAGCAAGGCCTAATAATATTTGACAGTCGTCATTTGTAACATATAATCATAAGAACCGTGGTTCCGGAAACAAGAAAATTAAAATTCGATCACCGCCGGCGTTTTTTAATAGTCTATGGTGACAAACGAGCACACAGTCCCCCAGATGATAAGTGGATGCTGTGGCCCATAAACATCTACATTTATCTTCGATTAAGAATAAATATGCGGATGCGTTATCACCTCTGAGAACTAAGATGGAATGCCTCGTTTCAGTAAAAAGGATCCCCGGTTCTCTATATTCACCTTACGAAACACAGCAGCATTAAGCTGCCATTTAACGCTGGTATTCTGTGAAAACGTGGTCCTACCATAATGTAGTTGCAGCTTGGCTCTACTACGTAAATTTACCAGTTTAAATTTAAACCTGGAAATGCTAAATGGGTACCAATTAGCATTTATAGGTGGTGTAGGTAAACATAGTTAGCAAACCTGCATTTTGGAAGTAATATAAAAGTTATTTAAGGGAAATGTAAAATGAGAAAATGCAAAGCTGCGCTATTCCAATCCGTTAGCTTTAGGGTACTGCGGTGGACTTTTCGCTGTCGAAGAATCATCTCATTAATAAGAAGAGGCATTTTTCCAGAGGTAAGATATGCTATACAGGTTGCTTTTTACGTCTTTTTTTAATATAAGTAGACAGTTAAAATTTTATGTTAATTGCCAAAAATGTATTAAAAAAACAAGTCTTACAACACATTAATATCCGGGTATTATCTAGGAATATGCATTCCATAGGCCCAATTAATTTTTAATGAGAAAAATATAACGTGATGTTATGTTAATTTTTATTGACATAACGTAATATATACAAAAAAACTTAATGATACTAAAATTCTCTTGTGTTCTCTCGATACAGTAATTAGTTTCATGACATCTATAGCTGCTGAAGAGCCCGACAAATGAATAACTGCTAGAGGACAAATTCACCCTTGTACTATTTCCTCCCTTATAGTCATCAATTTTGCTGCGTTGTAAATCTCGTATTTATAATATGTACGCTAAATAAATCATTCAGTTAAAATTTACGCATACTTGCATTACTTCAATCTATGGATATTAATAAATCTTAGAACATTTTTACTAAATAGGTTTATGATTTTTTTTATCTTTTTAGGCAAAATAATATTGTATTATTTTACAACCAATTAACCAACCAAATTTTAATAATTTCATATATTAAATAATTGCATATTAAAACCGTCAAAACGTTTTTAAATCTAAAATAAAATTAGATTTTTATTTATTAATAAACGCAAGGACACTACTTGCAAAAAATATCGAAATTGTATTCACACGTTAATAGGAAACACCTTTGAAATAAAAATGATACGTCCGTTCGTAGCTAGTCTCGTCGTTGTCTCACTTATTTCTCACAAATTGTAATAAACAGACAAAAACCAGACATTTTAATGCTTAGAAAACTAGATTAATATGCATTTTTTGCCAATAATTTATGTGATTATTATTAACTAATATTCATCACGGATATTGGGCAGATTTTTTGTTCTTGTCCAATGTTTCTAGATAGTAATACGTTGGGGTGTTTAATGTCATTTAACATTTTTATGATTCTTGTAATACATTATCTGAAATGCCAACGCATACCGGTTACCGTCATAGATCTGTAACACATTTGAGACCTTTTTGTCAACTAAATTTGGCAGTAGTTAGCAAGGACAGTAACTTTTGTGTGACGTCCAAATAACGACCCGAATAGAAAGATGTATAGATTATGTTCATCCGTATAAATAGCGTTACAAACGTGCGTTGGGCATCAGTCGGCTGTGACAGCTTGAAGTGATCTTCCTTTTCCGAATTTCAACACAGACCACATCCATAATGAGATCGCTGGTGGTGTTTGTTGCTGTGTTGGCACTCTCTGTCGCTGCACCTCACGATGACTCTTCATTGAAGAAAGGATCCAATGATGATTCTTCACAGAAGAAAAGATCTGTTGGACATACGATCGCCTACACTGTACCGTCGACTGTGACACAGACATTGGTTGGTGCTCCAGTTGTTGCTGAGCCTGTGGTGGAGGCGCGAACTGTATACGCAAGTCCTGCAGCTACTGTCTACGCTTCCCCAGCTGCTACAGTTTACTCAACCGGATCAGCCGTGTCCCACCAATCCAGAGTTGACATCCACACTTCACCAGCAGTGGTTGCTTCTGCTCCAGCCGTGATTTCCACACCTACTATCGTTGAAGCTCGCTCTGTATACGCTGCACCAGTCTACAATGTCCCTTCTGCCGTTTCTCATCAATATCGTTACGATGTTCACACCTCTCCAGCAGTGGTGAGCCAACAGCTTGCAATACCTACTGTGGTCGATGCTCGTTCAGTCTGGACACCAACAGTGTACGCTACCTCGTGGTAAATACGTCCTTACTTTTCGTTAAGTAACGAAAAAGTTGCTTAGAATTTTGGCCATTGAAATTTAAACAGAAATTTAGCAAAATTAAATAAAGAACTTTTTGAATTTTACTTATTTTTTGCTTTTAATATTGATACACAATTTTAACATATTATATATATATTTATTAATATCCATAGATTGAAGTAATGCAAGTATGCGTAAATTATATATATATATATATATATATATATATATATATATATATATATATATATATAGAAATGATACTTGTGTTGAATAGGTCTAAGTTACACAATTGGGATACAGTATTAAAATTCTTGCTCGCACGGCACATACGAGTATAACTATTCTGCCTATAATTAGTCTTTGCTGCGTGTAGTGATAGTGGGACCTTTCGTCTAACATTTTTTGGAATTTTGATATTTAACTTCTCAACTAGATCTGGACAGTCGATCTCGCTTGAAGCTATCTTAAGTAGAAAGGTAATATCTGCTATTTGCCTTCGCATCTCGAGTGGTAAGAGGTGGAACTTTCTACACTTATCATGGTAGAGTTTAGAGTTGTAGTGGTCATTTACTCGGTAGCAAAGGTGTTTTATGAATTTCGTCTGGATACGTTCAATTCCAGATATATAGGTTTTATATTGAGGGTTTCATATCTGTGATGCATATTCCAAAATACTTCTTACCTAACAACAATACAAAATTTTCAATGTTTTAATTTGTTTAAAGTTTTTAGAGCAACGTTTGTTTATCGAACAGAAGTTTCGAGTCGTGTATAACTCCAAAGTCGCGTACGGAACAATCTCTGGACAACGATTGGCTTCGAATCTGGTAATCGTACAGCAATTTATTGGGTTTACAGCTAAATGTAACAACTGAGCATTTTGTAGGATTGGGATCGATATGGTTATAGGTAGAATAATCAAGTAAGTTTCTCAAGTCATTTTGTAATGCTTCTGCGTCTTTTAATGAAGAAATATTTGAAAAAAATTTCATGTCATCTGCGAGACTATGTATTTTTACAGAAAGATAGATTAGATTTTATACATATATATATATATATATATATATATATATATATATTCATATATCTATACACATAGTCACGCTATATACATAAAACAATTATATAAATGTTTGAAAATAATTCTGAATAGATAATATGATTTGTTTTTTTAATAAAATATTTGTGCACACATATGTGCATTTTCTACTCCCTTTCTCTCATAGTTCTCACAACTAGATGGAAATCAGGCGCAGGACTATAAAGGCTTTATGTTTCCCGAGGCACTTGAGTGAAACACCGCCGACATTCTGACTCCGGCCTGATCATTACTTAGACAGAAAAACCAAATAACTGATTTTGACTCGACTCGAGATTCAAACCGGGATTTTCAGTCGCGCTTACTACTACTAAATCAAAGAAGCAGTTAAAGTATAAATGTAAAAATGAAATGATCAAACATAACCTTATCCATATTAATAGCATCTCATATCTTTGAAAAGTGTTCAGACACCATAATACAAGACTGCCTTGTCACATCGGCGTAAACAGTGGTAAGAGTGCACAAGTAAAAATGTTATCTTAAGGAGATTTTTAAACGATACTGTATGTTTATTGTACCTTAGATTATATGTTATATATTGGTACATATTGTCTTAAGTTTTTTTTTAAATTAGCTTGACAAGTAGTTGTCTTTCTTAATATAAAAATCGAGGTATAAATTACATATTAGTATTTTCGTACACTTTTTCGTTCACTTTTGTCCGTATCATGAACATAAAGTCAAAAAGTTGGTGAAAAATTTAAGACGAATAAAATAACAGTTTTAAGCAATCATCATGGTATCATCTTGTTAAGCACCCGGTAATCATTTCTTCTTGTTTAGTAGTACTCACAGATATATTTTTTTTATAGGATAGGGTGATAAACGCGCACAAAGTCCACCCGATGGTATGTGGTTGCTGTGGCCCATATACTTCTAGATCTATACTCGATTACGAATCAAAATGCTGATGCGTTGTCACCCGTGAGAAATAAGACGGAATACTTCGTTTCCAGTTAAAAGGATCTCCAGTTCTCTACACTCACCATACGAAACGCAGCAGCGTTAAGATGCTATTTTACGCTGGTATTTTGTGAGAGCGTCGTCCTTCCCGGTCTAGCCGACCCATTCGAGCTACAATTATATTAATAATATAGCTGCAGCATAGGTCTACCTAGTAAAACAATATATAAATTTCTTTAAACATATGTCAGTGTCAGTCCGATTTCTCCATAGCAAAATACCATACTACGTTATGCTATGGAGAGATAAAATAAACTAGTTTAACTGTTTCAACAACTTCCATTTCTCTTTATAGCATAAGCTGCAGAACCGAACAAAGTTTGCTTACTATTTAAGAATATAACATGCAGGGTTAGCTGTCACCCTGGCTTTATAATCGAAGCTTCACCAAGCTACGGTAAAGTACATAAGAACAAATACTGGCTAGCTCGAGGTAAAGAGCTGGTCCGAGGTGGCCACATCGTTTGGGAATGGTGCACCTATTTCGCATGTGTATTGGTGGAATGTGGGAAAGGGTCCCTGAGGAGTGTTCATCGTATCAACTCTGGAGGGACAGCACCCTTAATGTGGTAGTAGTGGAGCCGCGAGTGGGGGGGGGGAGCAGTATCGGTATTACGATTCGTCACGTTCCCTATCTTTAGCGACCGAAGTGTGGTCGGTGGCAGACATTGATTGAAGTTACAAGCCTCGCATTGCGCCTAAGCCGAAGTGACAAAAAGGGGTTCAATCCTCAATTGTTAACTGCAATTTATTGAGTGTTGATTACCGACGTGTAAAAAAACATCATGAGGAACACATTTCCTCGGGAATTTATTATAGTTATCTCTTAATCGATAGTAATATACGTAGGGGAAAATTAAACAATGTAAAAGTTGCCCTGGGGACGAGGTTGTTTACTTTCATGTGACACTTCACATTGCCGTTTCATGAACGTTAATTTTTAGCATCGTATAATAATAATTTAATTATTTATTTATTTGACTATAGGACTACTATATTAGCGGTTTTTTATTCGAATAAAGTTATCAGCCAACCGGTAATCGGTCAGAAGTGATCTTGTTTGTCAAATCATAACACTGACCACGATTTAAAATTAAATTGTTTGTGGTGTTCCTTACTCTTACCTCCATGGCATGCGCTTCAATCGTGCCGTTGGCGCAGATGGCTCACCATGCGGGTCTTGTGCTGGATTCTCATGGACACCCTTTCGACACAGCAGATGCCATCACCATAGCCCTCCACTCGTAGCGCACGCCGTCATTGCTTCTTACGCCCATGCTGCCATCGCTCCAGTTGTACACGCCATATCACCTGCTGTGGTTGCGCCGCCGCCGTGTCTCACCAATCACTTTTTCGGCTACTCGCTTACACTGGCCCTCTTTTGGTACACTTTGCGCTTGGACTCACTGGTCACGATCATCTACTGAAGAAGTGTTCTTTGGTCCACTACATGTACGCCGCTTCTGTTGTCTTGAACGCCGTTCCCATACTGCCGCCGCCCCTGCAGCTGTGTCCCAACAATCTCGTGTGGATGTTGTTTCTAGTCCGTCTATCGTGTCTCATGCTGTAGCCGCCGCCTCACGATCCTTACATACCTCTTTCGCTTCTTTCATGTTCATTAACTTCTTCATACATGCACGTCTAGGTATCCGAGTACTCTTGACCTTCCCCTCTTTGAGTAATTTGCTCACATGGTCTTCGAAAGTTAGTCTCGGTCTACCTCGACACCTTTTAATATTTACTTTCGCGCTATATATTTTCTTCACCATTCGGTCTTCACTCATTCGCTCAACGTGCCCAAGCCATCGGAGTACGCCCCTATCAATTTTTGTGATAAGGTCAACTTTCAATCTTGCCATATTGCGAATCTCTTCGTTTTGCTTTCGGTCGGCTATTGTAACGCCGCACATTTTACGAAGAGATCGCATCTCCACTGCATTCAACTTGCTTTTATGCTTCTTCTGGCATACCCAGGTTTCGCTGCCATATAACAAAGTTGGCACCAACACTGCGTTATGTATTGCAAGGCGTGCACTCTTCACTACGCTTTGCCTTTTGACTAACGCATTCAGGGCACCATTGACTTTGTTCCCGGCAGCGACACGCCTGTCCACATTTAAATCACATCTTCCATCCCGGCTGAAAGCACTCCCCAAGTATACAATTTCATTTACCTGTTCTAGACATTCCTGATTTACCCATATTTCACATTTCGTTCTCTCTTCGTCCTTTTCAAATACTAGAACCTTAGTTTTATTAGCGTTCAAACGGAGACCTTTAATTTCACATTCCTCTTTCATACACGTGACTAATGCCTGCATTTTTTTTGCTTCTGATGGTGCAATAAGCACTGCATCATCAGCATATAGCAGACAATTAACTTTAATGTCACCCAATTTCACACCCAAACAGCTATTTTTCAGCTTCTGTAAACAGCTGTCGAGATACAGTATGAACAGCCAGGAAGACATGACACAACCCTGTTTTACGCCCGCTTGGACGCTAAACATGGGTGACAGGTCATGCCCTACCCGCACACAGGCTTTACAGTCATAGTAAAGTGACTGCACAGCCCTTAACAATCGACCATCCACACCATATTCCGGCAACAGTTCTCACATTTTCTTCCTTATAACCTTATCAAATGCTTTCTCCAGATCCACAAAAGTACAGAAAATCTTCTGCTTAACACTCAGAAGCTTCTCTGTGATCATGCGGAGAGAAAACATTTGATCCATGCATCCTCTTCCAGGTCTAAATCCGCATTGTGCCTCCCATAAAAATCTTTCCGATTTCTCTTGCATCCTACGTGTCAAAACCTTCGAGTAAACTTTACTTGCTAAACTGGTCAAGCTGACTGCCCGATAGCACCCGCAGTCAAAATGTGAACCTTTACCTTTATATAAAGGCACAATGACCGCGGATCGCA